TGAATGGCCGCCCTGAAAGTTCTTCGGAGCCGACATCTAGCCTCGGCTCAAGCCATTATACCTCTAGCACCTACTCGATGTGGGTTCGTTCTCGCCAAAGGGCAAATCGTCCCAGTACCCTTTCCGAGCCAAATCATCGTCCCACAATCCAATCTGAGCCAAATCGTTCTAGCACCTATTCTGGAACGCGGCAATTGCTCCCACCCTCACACCCCCAGCACCAAATTGCGCCTGTTCCTCGGAAAAATCAACCGCAGCATCCTTCAGTAAACATTCCAACAGCGCGACATCAGCGGACCTCAAGGCCCACCCTCTTCTTTTCCTTTATTTCCTGTTCGACTTGTGCGATCTTCTGCTGTAGAAGAACTGCCTTCTCCCTTTATTGAAGATGAAGATTCTGAATCAACGGAAATTGACACAGCTCCTGAATCGACGAAATTCACACTGTTCCTTCTGAATCTGCGGAACTTCAAAGAGCACCTATCATCATCGCACTAGATCTCCATCGTAAACGAAAATCTCCCATAAGTCAACGGTATCCCGGAGAACGAGAGATGAGCATGTTTGGAAAGCATGATGTCTTACGGTATACTATTCCTGGTAGCGAGAAGTGCTACATATTCCTGTTCAAAAGGTCAAATCATAATCACGATGTATATCGATGTAGGGAATGCAAGAAGATCGGACCTATTGTCACAATTAAGGTAAATCACATTTCTCGCTGCAAAATAGTTCCTAGTCCGTTTCAAAATTCCAACGAGTTTTTTGTTCGGGAATCTGTTAGTTTGTTTGAAAGGTGGCTCAGAATTCATGTTGTTGCCCATTCAGTATTTTTTGCCGCCCAATGCTGTATAGGTCCGCAATGATTAGAGTATATTCATCTTCGCGTGCGTGGGGCGGCAGCATTGCGAGTGACTAGGAAAGTATAGATATCGATCTAGCATTTTGAGTACGCGGGGGCTACATGACAAAAGAACCGCAATTCGCCGCGCTGTTGGGCGTCGCGTGCGACGTCGCGCCCGCAAATGACGATGTTCCAGGTCGTAGATGGCGACAACAGGCAATTTAGAACCGAAAATATTCAAATCAGGGCACATCATTGGTTGGGGATTTTAGTCGAGTCCGTACGACCCCCCCCCCTCCGGCCCTCTGTCCCTCCTCATCGAATCGAGCCGTCGAGCGGGGGGAGGGGGGGGGTATAGTACCCATGAAACAGGAAAATCACAAAAAGTCAAGCCAAGTCACCACCGCTCCTACAACGCCACAACGCCAAAACCTAAATACGATCCCTTCCAACAATGACCGAGTACGACCCACAACGTCCGTGAAGCGCGAAACCACTATCAAAGTAAACTTTTCCTAGTAAATACGACGCCCCTCTCCTGTCGGTCCAAATACGACCCCCCCCCCTATTGGGGATTCCCCAACAACGATGTGCCCTGATTCAAATGCCCACAGTTTCGCAGCCCACGTGAAATCTGTTCCAATGGACAAGCTAACATGAGTAAGGAAAACGCCACGCCCATCTCCGCGCGCGACGTAGTGGCACATTACGATTCTCTTGCCCGTCTCCCCATCGTGGCTAGTTCTGAACTTTTCGCGGGCAGTCGCTGAAAACGCTGACATACGCTCAATACGCTAGGTCGATATCTATCCTTTCCAAGTCGCTCAAAACGCTGACGCAAAGTATGAACGAATCCTTATATCGACCCGAATCCGCAACGCAACCTGTTGGCCTTACGTTAGAGTGCGCCAGTCAGAGCGACCTAATCGCGAACTATTAACGCATTCCTTATGCTCAGGCCCGCGTTCTCACTTTGCGATGGGGAGATTTGATTCGGTTAGGGAAACTCGGCTATTCGAGAGATCGCGATACTTTCGGTACCGATCTAGTGGTCGTCGACACGCGTTTTGGAAGACTTGGCCTTTCGGGCGATTTCATGTCTAGTGAGTGAGTGGGTATCATCGGTGCCGACCGTTAGCGATTGCGGAGATTCGGGGAACCGGCGCCAAATCGCCGGTTCTTCCCAGGCGCCTAATCGATATTTATACTTTCCTTGCCAAGTCTCCCAAACCGCCGAATCTCAGTCACAACCTATGAACATCCAGCCGTAGTCCGCAATAGACTGCGGATCTATATTGGACCAGCGACTGTTTTGTCGAGAGAACAGCTCTTTTATCCGCTTCCTCTTGAACTGTTCGTGTTTTTTGGTTTTGGCTTCAAAGCTTCTTGCAGCTCTTCTTCGAGATACTTATTCTCTATGGAAATGCGCGCCTACATTTGGACTTATATAGGATTTATCACCATTTTTAGGCTGCTTTTTTCTAGGCAGCGGCAGATTACGACTGTCGTGCCCGTCCCCCTCTCGCCTCCTTTTGCCACTTATTTCTCCTTGTGAGATTCAAAAAAAAACATTTTCAGGCAATTGGTGATGATTTCTTGTCTGACCCCTGCGATGAACCACATGTGTGTATTCCAACGGATTGCTTGAAAGACAAGGTGGAAAGATTGATGTATAAGGCAAGTCTTTATTATGTAAAATATCTAGTTATCTTCAATCGCTGATTCTCCAAAAGTTTGCATATTACTCTCCTGGGCTATAATAGGTCTCGTTCGTAGCTTTCGCTTCCGTCTGTGGGGAATCGAAGAGCACGGATATTTATCAGTTCCGTCGACTTTGCCCAACAGGAGAGTTGAAGAACTTGAAGTCATGCTCCACGTTTCTAATTTTCAAACGCCTTTTCCGGATAAGTCCCGTCCTGCCCGCATGGTAGGATGTACTAACTTCACACTAAAAAGTAGTTGAGGAAAGCACAACCCACCGGCCAGGTGGGTCCGCCTACTGATTACAGCACTGCCCAATTTCATTTGTGAAAGTTTCTTGGTGGTACGGTTGATCCGGTACTACTTCTCTGCATTTCAAATGGTGACATTGAGGTGATAAGGAGAAAGAGCTGATTCGAACAGGTGAGAACTCGATCACGCCCACTTCGTTTTATGCACGTACAAGTGGTTGCTTTTTATTGCTTTTTCTCGTGTAATTTACGATCTTGGCACTGGTATTTGAGCCGCACAACTTATCATTTTTGAACGGGAGGCGCGCCTTTAATACTATCTTATAGCCAAAAATGACTATCAATTGTTTCACTTTATCGATTCGTCGAATCGAATTGCAAGATCGACATGTATCAGTTCCTTCCCAGTGGCTTTCCGCTTCTCATCTTGGTGGAGTCGGCAGATTTTTACCTGATCTTTTTTTTTACGTAACCTCCGACTCTAGATCGATAGGTGTTCTTTCTCTTTCTCAGATTTTCCTCTTCTATATTTTCGTGTTTCCAGAAATGGAGGGAAATGCAGCAGGATCCGCGGTATGTTAGGACAGGATGTCGAGATGTGTATATGGAAATGTTGAATGCTTTCGATGACGAAACTCTGGGTGATGCAGAGGAGAGGGAGAAAATGCGACTTGTATTTGAAGCATCAGGCTACGGAAATAGAAGAATCACAATTGCACGGTATGTTGATGTTTGAACATTTGAGCTTCATCTCAAAGGAATTAACTCCTTTCTTTCGCAGAATTTGCTTTTTTTCCGCGTTCTATTTTTCAAGTAAAATTTAATACGCGAGACTGCGTTCATACTTTTCGACCGAGGAGATTCGGGGGTTTGAGAGATTCGGCCAATCGAGAGATTGCGCGACAAGGAAAGTACAGGAATCATCGATCTTTGGATCAGGGAAATCACCGGGTTGATCACACCCTCAAATCGCCGGATCGCCCGTCGCTAGCAACCGGTGCCGGTAGATACCCATCCACTTTTTTTGGCGCCCACTCGAAACGCCGTTCCGCTTAAAAAGGAAGGTCGCCGATCTTCCCAATCGCCAGATCCAATTCTGTACCTTCCTGTCGTGCAATGTGACGAATCACCGCATGTGCCGAATCGCCGGATACTCTCAGTCACATTCGCAAAGTATGAACATGGCCCAGTGCGTTAATCGGAAGAACGCAGTAATTCTCAGACCGCGTTCAGACTTCGCGATCGCGCGTTTTGGTCGCTCGAACGAATCGCGCGACCACGATCGGGACGATCCGTTCGAGCGACTGCCAAACGGTGCATCGCCGAAGCGGCAGAATCCAAATTGGGCTGTCTTCATACAGTGTCAGTTTGAATTGTGCCGTTGTGGCGGTGCACCGTTTATCCGTGGAGCGCCCCGATTGTGGTCGCGGGATCCGATCAAGCTACCCAAACGCGCGCGCGATCCAGGCGCGCGATCGCGAAGTCTAGACGCAGTCTCAGCGCGCCTCCAACTCCTCCAACTTGCACACTCCTCCAACTTGCACATTTTTCCACTTTGAGCATTCATTCGCGAACAATCAAACCACTACTAAATGACAATCATTTGTTAGGAATTTGAGACGTCTAAAGGCAATGATGTATAAGGAAGCTGTAGAAAAAGCAGAAGAAGACGGTGATT